TATCAATAAAACAAGTATTAATTGTTTTTTTCACATTTTCTTGCTAATTTTCTTGCTAAGGCCTGGAGCCTTTTCATATTTTGTCACATGATTCACCATCTTTATTGTGCTACAATGTTTCTGTAGTACAATAGAACCAACTGTCCTAACTTGGGTAAATTACAGCCGTAATGTTGACATTCTCCTTTGCAAAATCCAAAAATTAGTGCAAATTCCTCGGTAAAGTTTTTTTCTGTGATTATTCTTCACTTGATAGGTCGCAGTTTAAATGTTTTTGCTGTCTTCTTAGTCAAGAGTTTATTTTTTCGATTCATTTACTTGCATTTGGACATCTGGGGAGCTTCTTCGGTCATATCTGGATGAAGGGCTTATGCGGACATAAACTTTCAGTTCTTCCTGCAGATTCTTAATTGGATTTAGGTCCAAACTTTGACTGGTCCATTCTGAGACAGTCATGTTTCGCCGACTGTCTAGTGTTGTTTTCCAGTCAACTCTAATCAGCGTCTCGTCAGCATAAAAAGACTTCAAAGGAATAATGCTGCCACCTCCGTGTTTCACAGCGGGGGCAGCTGTGTTTATGGTGATGTTGGTTAGTTGTGTGTGTGTGTGTGTGTGTGTGTGTGTGTGTGTGTGTGTGTGTGTGTGTGTGTATGTGTGTGTGTGTGTGTGAGTCAGACCAGATGGTTTTCAGCATTGATTTTTTTTTACAAAATATATGAATAAAAGTCAAGTTTTCCCCCTATTTAATTTTAGCTCCTCATAAAAACCCAATAAAATGCATCGACATTTGTTTTGTAAAATGACAAACTCAAAGAGCCATTAACGTTTCTGCTAGTCACGCACGCTGATATGAATTCCAAAAATAAACTTGTTTTATTATTATTGTCTTTTCAACAGGAGCTGCCACCGCACCACTTCACTTTAACGCTTAAATATGCCTCAGCACTTCTTTGTCAAGACCCATCGCAGCAACAATGAGAGAGAGTCTACATTCATAAAGTTCCAATAATGTTTTGTAATGGAACATTACACTGTAATGAACAACCAAAAATTGTTCTTTATGGAGCCACTAAAGTGCCGTGAACCAGAGCAACACAGTCACCGCTGTGCTATAACACTAACAGATCTGCAGACCGCAGTCAAAGTCAGAGTCATTAAGGGTTGTAAATTGTTCCTCCTGAATTTAAGGAGTCATAATGTTCAATTTTGTCCAACCCTAAAGAGTCATCTCTGCGTACGTGGAGGGCAGCAGATTTCCCGTCCCGTGAAAGAGGCCGCGGTTCTTTCACCGTGCACCTGCTCTCGTTTTGGCACCGCGCACATCCCCGCTTCCCGTATCTTGCGTGAAACCAGACAATTCCTCTCCCCTTTTCTCTAAGTCGCCTTAAAGTTGTTTGAGTTTGGATGCGTCCCTGACTGTTCACCCGTTCGGAAATCTTCACAGGAGTTTGAAAACCTACTCGTTTTATTCGCCTCCCTCTGGAAAGATGAGACTTTAACCTGATCCTGATAGGTGGCGTGTCTCAAATGCACCACAATGTCAAAAAAAAAAAAAAAGCAGAAAGCGGTCTGGCAGGGCAACAATTCTCTTTTTCTGAAAAGCTGAATAATACATGCATATTTTCTCCGTGATCCGGCAAATTCAATAGCCCATATGGAAAAGGATTTCTCTCAACGTAAACCGCTTTTTTTTTTTTTTTTTCCTTTTTTAGCAAGAGAGGCCTTCCCTTTTAGTTTTCCGTAGGTCCGGTCTCCCATAAATAATTTGCCTTCAACCTTCACATGCATAAAAATTGCAACTTGTTGGTTATGAGAGAGGAACAGTGAGGATGCACTTTGAATGCCAATGTAGCGATGAATAAACAATGGCTCACTGCTCCAGGAGCAATGCAAGAGCTGCCAGAAGACATTGCTTTGAGTCCGCAGGCTCTCTTAATGGGTTTTTGCCCACAGACCGAGCCTTTCAGTCAGCTGTGAATGGGAGACTGTTTTGATCTAGGGGGGAACACTTTAATAATTTCTAACAAAGCGGCAATTCCCCGGGCGCCTCGGACAACCTTGGTCGATTCCCTCTGATTATCCTCCAGCCACTCGATGCTCTTTAAACCGTAACTGAAAAGTCCTTCAGTGGCTTAAAAGTTGCGCGGTACGTGAGAAATGACAAATCACATTCACTTCCAGAGCCTCGAGTCGTTGTCGGCAGAGGGAGCTTTGGAACTGGGCGTTTGTAGGATCCATCACAACAAACCAGGCGTTGTAGTGTTGGCACTACACCCTGTGGGTTTTATAATAATATTTAAAAACCATAGAGCTAGTCTGGCTCGTCTGCATCCTATCTGAGAGGATATGGGATGCTTGAAAGGCAAATGAAAGCCTGTGATTTCCTTTGAAAGCAGTGGGGGGGCTGGGAGACGTCTCTGCAGTGTTACAGTGCCACCTGGTGAGCGGTTTCCAAACTGCAGATCAAAATCTGTTTTATTCATTCAGTCAATGTTCTTCTAAAATTATTTATTGTTTTTTGTTGTTGTTGTTGTTACTTTTTTACTTTTGGGTCTGAAATTAATTATATACATCTAAATAATTTGAGACAACAATTAAAAAAGTTTAAAATTTTCATAAAATAGTCAAACAGAGCAATTCAGGTATGGGAAGATTAAGGATAGATTACAGATACAGGGGTTAATTAAAAAAAGAATTTGTTGATGACTAATGTCACATAAGTTGCAGTTCATGTGGTAATATAGGATTTCTATTGATAAGTTTGACTAAATCAAGTGTGATTTCTCTTTATTTCCACAAAATATTAAAAGAAACATAATTAAATTGCTTTTACACAATTTCAAAAGAGCCATATTTTCTTCAGCTCAGATATCTTCAAGTTTATAATGTCATCGATAACATTTACATATTTTGATTTTTGTATGTCAACTAACACAAAAATATAGAACGGAGAGCTGGTTTGTTAAAGAGGGATATTATGTATTTTCTAGGCAAAAAGTGGAATTTTTAGCACAATCGAGTAACTACTATTTTACCTTCAGCTGTAATTAAATTGGCGTATATTAGAAATAACTACCAACAAACAAAATACTAACACAGCACTGAAATAACTTAATCTAACTTTGTTATGAACTAAGAAACTCTGAAGAAATAAAGGAACTGATATACAGATAAGGACACTGAAACGGCCTAAATAGAGTCAAAACACAAACACTCAGATCATGACCACACCACCTCAAAGGTTACATCTTCTCTGCTTTGTTTAGTAGTCATTGTATATTCCCTTTCCAAAATAGGAACATTTCTTCCTTTTCACTTTCATCACAATTTTTTGTAAAGTTTTCGCATGATATTGGATGTCAAAAGAATGCTTAATAATAGCTACAAGCCACAAAACGGTAAATAAGTATAAGCCACAATGCAAAATAAAAAAATAAAACATCTGACATGTCCTAATTATATGGTACTAACCCACATTTAGCTATGTTTACTATAAAAGGAAGCAGCTAAAGCTTCATATTGTGTGTGTTTTTTTTCCAGTTCAAAGCTTACATTAAACATTTTTGGAATTATTTTTTACTGAGGGTGTTTTCTGACATATTCGAAAACTGAAAATAAAACAGAATTATGATTTTCGCTTGTACAACAACAAGAAGAAACTCAGGATTTTCCAGCCTTGCTTTCATCACTCCTCCCCGGGAGCGTGGTTTCAACTCCACAGCAGAGCACTAAAAGGCACTTACCTCATTGCACTTGGGCTTTTCAGCCTCTGACAAGTCAAAATGTTTTGTGAAAAAAGGTAAAAAGTCTAAGCAGGCCCTGTGGTTTTGGCAGAGGAAGCCAACAAAAGAGGCTCAAAGCATGGACTGCCTATCTCAGTTGATATTTTTGGTGCTGTATTGATGTTTCGGAGTTATAAACTTGTCAACGTAGCATTTTTCTGGTGTAGCATTAACATTTTTTAAATTTATGATACATGCATTGACATTTGTTACTCTACTGTTTTGTTTACATGTGGCATTATGTAAAGATATACTAATTTATGTGTCACACAATACTTTTAATTAATGTAAAAATGCACACATATACTAAGAATAAACGTGTAGAGTATTTTAGTGTGCCACATTTAGCCTTAAGGCTAATTATCACCTCTCCTTCTTGGTAGGTTGGTAATAAAATACTTGCAAGAATGAAACAAGAAGCCTGAAAGCTAAAAACACTTGGCCTAAAGAAAAGAATAAGACAAAAATGTGCAAAATTAGGCTTGGAGAATAAATCAGTAACAACATATATCGTGATAGTTACGTGACCATTAAGAATCGCACGGCATTCTGGGGGATGTAGGCCGAGGAAAGGTTTTACCTGCTCAACCTCTAATAGCCAGCTAAGCAAGTTGGGTCACATCAACTAATTCACTCTTTGGTTACTTAGCAACAACTTGTTGAGTTTCTTGATTCGTCACCGTACTCCATAACTGTTTAAAAATAATAAAAAATAAAAACGTCATGTAGTGAAGACTGCGGATAAAACAGGAAAGGTTGCACCAGCAGTTTGGTAGAATTTCAGATATTTAAAACAAAACAACAACAAAAATCAATCAATAATTATCAATATTGACTGATATTGTGATACTTTGTTAAGGCCATATCGCCCGATGTAAAACTTTAACAGGACGCTGAGTATTCATAGGTCTTACCAATCTACTTTGAAATAACCTCAAGCACATATTAAACAAATTCAACCAACTCTTTTAACTGACAATATAACTTTATTTTTTTTGTCACTAAAATAACTCGTTGTAACATGTCTTAACAGAACGTCCTCATTAACATGTTTTAAATTGATATAGCATCTTGAGTAAAACTTATGACAAAATGAATGAAACATGTTTCCATGTAAAACACCACATTGTTAAAAGTTTGTAAAGAGGAAGGATTTTTGTTCTTAATTTTATGACAAAATCACAATGCCATATAAAATACACTTTTTTTATATATATATATATATATATATATATCTAAAAGCATGAGCTGACTTGCCTTAAATCCAGCATATTTAGCCACGGTAGCTTTGACTTGAACAGAAATCATACAGCACCCACTGCTTTTAGATAACATTAAACAAGAAGAGCTTGTGTGAGCGACCCCTGAAGAGTTAGAAACCGTGAGGTTATCTTTCGATTTTTGCCCCCGAAAAGTGCCATTTAGCATTAAACAATGACTGAGCAAGCTGTTTCTTACAGAAAAAATATAAGCTTTATGTCTCCATCTATACCATGTTAAGACAATGTGTTTCATACACAGTTATCCTGAAAAGTGCTTGTTGAAGTCTGAGCAGACTGTTGGATAGAAAACAAAAAAATATACAGTACGTTGGCCACATGTTAGACGTGTGTTACTCCTATACAGTGCCGGCCAAACGTATTGGTACCCCTGCTAAAGGTGATTTAAAGCCTTAAAATAAAATTCTCTTTTTAGGGCAGCAGAATATAATCAAGCTGAATATTTTAGAGAAATTTTGAGTACATTCTTAATATGTACTCAATAGTTTTGAGAATTTATCGTTTTAAAAGTATCACTGTAGTTTTCACAGATGTACATTGCTTCCTATTTGTCTTTTGTTTGTCTCAAGGTCAGTTTGTTTCATTTTATTTTAATTTTGTTCATGCTTTCTTTCATGCTAGCCTAGCTTATTTGTTGGCTAGCATCAAACAAGCTAACGTAGCTTGTTTTTAAAACAAGCTGAAACAAGCTAGCCTAGCTTGTTTCATGCTAGCCATGCATGAAACAAGCTAGGCTAGCTTCAGTTAAAGTCCAAGTAAAATTTAGGCAACTCCACATACGTACATAAATAAGCTTTTTCAACAACAAATCAGTCTTTACATAGTTTCCAGTGGCTGTTGTTGTCCAGACTTGGTGACTCCAAGTGACTCTTTGTTGCAGTTCTTTAAGATGCTCTCACAATGTTTCCTTTTCTAACAAAGTTTGCTGGCTTATTAATAAAATGCGTTTAGAAAAATTAGGAAATGAATGGGGTTTTGTGGAAACTTAATTGTGTGTCTTTGATGTGTGTCTTGTTTCTGATGTGCTCTTGTGTAAAACAGTCTACGTATGTTGGGATCAAGAAATTCAAAGCGTTCTGCTGTGTCGTCACCCTCTCAACCGTGATTTCTTTGAACATTGTGTATGTGGCCTAATTAAAGGTTAGTATTGTGGAGTAATATTATGCTTCTGCAATAAAATCTATATTTATTTTCTAGTTTCTTTTCCACATCTTTATTAGGGGTACCAATATATTTGTCCAAATCTGTAAGTATATTACATTTTTTAAAAAGTTATTTTATACACATTCCTTAAAAATCATGTTATTAAATCACATGAATTTACCTTGTTATCCCTTGTTATATAGTCGAAACATATATACTTTTTTTTTCCTCAAACATGCTTCTTACACCTATTTCCAAATGTTAAATGTTAAAACAATCAGTTTGTTCCCGTTAAACTTTTCTGGAAGCTAATGTAACAAAAAAGTACCAACGGCACAGTCCTCACCGTCAGCCTCGCTTCACACTTCTTTTAGCAGCTCGTAAAGGTTAAAAACAAAAAGCGGTCTGTCGGTCTGCCTGAGGATAAAGTGCAGGTGTCCTTTGGCCCCAACATGGAATCAGATATAAAAGCAGTGGTTTAAGATCACTCTTAGACCCCAGCTTCTGATCTAAGAGCGGGGTGATAAAAAGCCTCGTGACCCAGGACATTGGACAGGAGTCTCTGTCCGTGCGGAGACATGCAGCTCTGGCCAGGTAAATATCCAGCGGCTGCTTTGCTGGATCTGGTGGATTTAGATCTTGGCGAGGCGTAATACCCCTCCATGTGGTCGTAGTGTGTGGGCTTGACTTTAGTGCTCTGAGTCCGTCTGCTGAGGTGCGTGGGGAAGGGTTCCAGATGTTCGGGATCCAGGGGAGATTTGGAGTGGTAATGATAGTAGTGACGATGTTCTCTGGTGCTCTGCGAGCGCACCGGTCTTCTCAGGATGCTGGGTTTCGCAGCGCTAGCCAGCACTGATGGATTCTGTTCAAAGCCTCTCGTTTGGCATCGGTGAGTGTGCTCGATGCTTTTCAGGTTGGGGCAGCCTCGTTCTGGCAACGAGGGGACTTTGCGGAGGAGTGGCTGCCTTGAGTAGCCCTCTTTGATATGAATCCGTCTCATCGGCCCAAATTCTGCGCCAGACCGTTGGCCATAGCTTTGCCTGCTTTGCCTGGACACCTCGGGGTATTCTTGCTGAGACCTTATTCTTGGGATGGTTGGCGATATGGCCACGGCTGTTTGGCTGTCCACGTTGTGGGCAGAGAGGAGGTTGGCGTTTCCGGGGTCTGACTTACTCCTTGTGTGCAATATGTCCCTTGGTGAGTCTGGGGCCTCACAGGGAGACAAGGAGTGGTACGTGCTTTTGTGTCTCTCTTGCTGAACTGGTTGATACACAACCCTTTCAAAAACCTCTGCATCTCGAGCCTCATAAACCACAGTGTCTCTGCTTTCTATGTAAAGCTCCCTATTCACGGGAGAGGCGTGGCGTGGAGAGTAGTTGTAGTAATCCGACTGATCACCTTCCCTTGTGGAGTGGACTGTGTAGGTCTGATGGCGATGGATGCCACTTTGCCGACGGGGATCTATGAAATAACGAGGTCTTGGATCTCCCGAACTTGAGTCGGAATAGGGGCCATAGTGGTGTTCTGGGTGTACGTTCTCAAACTGTGTCCGTCCAGGCTTCAGGCCGGCCTGGATTCGCTCTGGATATGGCACTTCAGGGCTCAGTTTCTGCTCCACATAAAGCATGGAGTCAATCGGCAGGATTTCTGTGTTCGCCAGCTCGTAATGACTGATCTGTGGGGAATGAAAAGAGTGTGCCCGCCGGATGGCCGGGTTTCTCACTGCCCTGTCCTCGGAGCTCTGCCATTGCCCCTGCTGCCTGTGGAAGTCACCCTGGTAGCGCTTGTACTGAGGTGACAGCGGTTGTCTCAAACCTAGAGAGCTGTAGCGGCTCTCTGACGACTGCCTGTACAGGCCTTTATGCGCAGAGAGGTGCGGCGGCAGAGCGCTGGGCCGAGGGTAGTGAGGCGTAGGTGTTCGACCTGAATGAATCGGCCGGTGATGGTACTGCTGCTGCTGCTGATGATGATGATGGTGATTACTGAAGACATCCTCAAGCATGCCAGGAGGACTGTCGTCCTCTGGGCTGTAGGGATGGGCCGAAGAGGTCTGGAACTGTCTTGGGAAGACCTCTTCGATAGAGGCAGGCATCGACGACTCCGCCAGGACAGATCTGAAGTTAAAGGCATCCACAGAGTCCATGTTGGCATACACGGGAGAGGCTGGCGGGCTCCTTGCTGAGCCGATAGGCTGGCAGGGCGTCGAGACTCCAACACTCTGGTAAGTGTGATGTTCCTGTTTGACCTCCGACTCTCGTTCCTCTCTGTGCTCCCTCCCTTCAGTGCTGCCTTCCTCCAAACTCCCCGACCCGAGCGGGCTGACGTTAGGGGTGAAATTGCACACGCTTTCTTGACTGTCGGCAACCTGCAGCGGCTCCGGGTAGAGGTGCGAAGGCGAGAACTGGCCAGGGTGAAGGCAGCGGTGGGCCTCTGCAGCCGCTTGCCACTGGGAACCGTGAGGACCGCGGCACTCCTGAGGATGCACTTTGACGTCAAGAACGGAGGGTCGTTGTGGCCTGCAGTCGTGTGCATGGCTTCTTCTTTGGGACGCGTTGCTGGCCTTCTGGGCAGATTCCGCCAGGGCCAAAGCCAACTTGCGCGCAGCACTCATCGAGGGAGGGTGAGGAGGGAGAACAGAGACTGAACTCATAAGTCTATCTGTTCCTGGGGAGGGATAAGACAAACAACGCTACAGTATGACAGGACAAACAAAGCTATGGTAAGACATGATGGGACAAGACACAAAAGCTTTCATAAGAAACTAGAGTGCATTAAAATTTGCATGCTTACTAACTATACAGATACGGATATAAAAAGGAATAAAGAACATGCCTTGCATATTTACTGAGACCACTTAAACCTTTTCACATTTTGTTCTGCAACAAAAATAACAACCTTGGTGTTGGTGGGGCAAATATGTTTTAAAATTATTTTACAAGTACACATTTTTATTGCAATTCCAGCTGCAAGTCTTTAGTCTCCTGTGCAGAGGCTAAATGTTGCTAGTGCTTTTTTGTAAAATAGCTCAAGCAATTTTTAAGTCCAGCCTAAGATACTTTGTTGAATTTAGGTATGGATTTTGATTGGGCCATTCTAACACATTAATATTTTTAGATATGATCTATTCAATTGTAGTTCTGGTTATACTTTGCTTAAGGTCTTTGTCCTGCTGGAAGGGGAACCTTCACAAATCTTTTGCAGCTGCAAAGAAGTTTTATAAAACCTACATGACAAACGTTTAATGGAACTTCCTTCAGTCGCCAGGTCCACATATTCTCTCACGTTAGATGTGGATATCTGTGTCACTATGGGCTTCTTGGGTGCTTCTATGAATAATGTGATCCTTGTTTGTTGCAGATCTGGCATTTGTGCCGTCCTCTTTCAATGAACAAGGCTCTGTAACATGGTCAAAGTTTGGATTTTGAAACTTACCTACTCTTTAAATTTTTCCACAACTTTATCTGTGATCTGTCTCGTGTGTGTTCACAGAATAACTGGATTTAGACCAATAAACCGATATCCGATATTTACCAGCATAATATGCATTATATTTAATTCAATACTCTTTCAACACCTTAAGAAAACGACCACACTGCTGGCTTTAACACTGCTTCTCTGCTTCAGTTAAATTACCCACAATCCTGCGCTGCATCATTATCACTGACCGACCTCCTTCCCTAAGCCATTCTAGGAACAAACGGCAGCAAGATGGAAATAAATATTGGTTGTTAATATTGGCTCTGTTTCATTTATTTTAGAGTTTCCAATATGCTACAAAATTACTAATATCCTAGCCGATACCGATGTTAGTACCGATATATCGTGCATCCCTAAAATAAATGTACCGGTAAAGATTTTGAAAAATTATTTTTTCTCGGATAAAAATACATTTAAAACATATTCAAACTTTGTGTTTGTAACAGTACAAAATGTGAAAAAGCTTAGAGGGTTTGAATAGATCTGAAAGGCACAGCACAGATTTAGGATATTGAGAAACTAACCTGGATCAGGGAGGTTCTGGGCAGACTGACTGAGGTCTGTCACGCCGGACGCCTGACTCGCCGTGTTGATGGGGCTGCTGTGCTGAAACAACGCTCTCGGCTGTTTCCCGTCTGCTGCCGAAGCCTCGCACTTGTCCACGTTGGGAGAAGAAGAAGGCACGGGAGTCTGACCATCTGCCAGCATTTTTAATGATTTCTTCCTCACTTTGGGCGAGAGGTGCTTCAAGGCGACTTTTTTTCCACTTTTGCACAGAACCGGGCTGTCGTCCGGAGACCGCGAGCAGCCGACGTTGTTCTGGGAGGAGACGGGTTCAGATTCGTTGGGGCACCCCGCGCTCTTCTTCCGCCTGCTGCCGCGATGCATCGCGGGAGTCTGGCTGCACTGGAAAGACATGGGGTCGAAGTCTAAGGTCGAGATGCCTGCAGCCGGCGGGGAAAGGTCGAGGTCGTCCTCTGAGTAGTGAGGGGAAACGGCTGCGCGGCCTCGGTCGGCGCTGCGTTTACTGTCGTTCAGCTGGTGAGCACGGCGGTCGTCTTTGTTTCTGGAGTTGTGCAGGTCGTCCCTGCTGGCGGCAGAAACGGCTTCGCTGGTCGAACGAGGTCTGAGGGGACGGTAACTCGGAGGCCCTCCTGGGTTGCATAGAAACAAAAAATATACATTTATTTATATAAATGTAAGCTGCTGAGAGCTCAGTGGAAGATTTTTTTATCATCTCCGGAAAGATTACCTCCTAAATTTTGCAAAGAAGTGAGAGATTCTTCACTTTTAGTGGACCGCAGTGTGCCGCTATCTCCTCGTCCTCCTGCAAGAAAAAAATTATTCTGGATAAATCACACAACTTCCAAGATATCCTATAAAAAAAAAAAATAAAAAAAAGCTGTGGCTCCACAGCAAACTGACCTGGCAGTGCTATGCTCTTTATCTCATTTGGTTCACTGGGGTGTCGCTTTAGTTTACGCTTGGACACGGAGTGGGACTTGCCCAGGTGGAAAAAGGACAGCCAGTTCCCCACAGGAGACTTCTTCGACTTCACTAGAGGCCGCTTGCCACTGTGACACAGAGAACAAATCGTATTTAACGCTTGACCCTGAAAGTGTGCTGTGAAGTCTCAAGAATATCAAGGACAAAATGGTTCTGGCTGTTGCTTAGGCAACATTTTTATTTTTGTTTAGTCAAGGAAGTTGAAGGGTTTCTGCAGGTTTCACCGACTCAAATTTAAGACCTATATCCACAGAAATGTACTAGCTTCATCCAACCAAGTGGTGATAAATTTGCCTAGCTAGCTGCTGGCTTGTTATCAGTAGCTTCAACTGTGTCAGGTTTCACCAGAGACATGAAGACAGATTGGGACATGCTCATTAAGGAGTTCATTCAGTCATTTGATTCATCAAGCAAGGACACAACTAAAACAGAAGAGCTAGCTCTGACTAGCTAGCTAGTAGGAGAACTAGTATTTAAAGAGATTTTTTTTCAACTCTACCTCTCCATTGGCAGTTCGATGACGGTGTGAAATTTTCCCAGTAGAGCTTCGGGTCCCTCCCCGACCTCGATGTAGTCGCTGTGGGAGAGGCAGGGGGTTGTGGCTGGAGATCCGAGCTGCGTCTGGGTCCGAGCCTGGGCCTCCTCTAAAGACAGCAGCTTTGTGGACGGGGAGCAAACCATAAGAGACTTTGGTCTTGATAAGGTGTTGTTACCTAAGATTGATACACACACATGCACACACACACACACATTAGCACAGATACATACACGCATTTTGTTTTCCATTTCTTTATCCCTTAAAAATCCCTACCAGTGCTTTCTCTTAAAATAGAATTTAACTTTGTGCTGAAAAGGGACTCCGTGTTGTTGAGGATGAACTCCACCACCACCGACTGGATCCGCACCTCCATGAAGGCCGCCGTGCCACTAAAGCAGGCCGACTCAATCTGTCTGGACCTGAAACGGAGCACAGCGCGACCTAGTTCAGCGCTCGGCACCACTGAGATGTGCCCCAGTTCGCCGCGGCGGAGCGGCCAAAAGGAAGCGGTGAAATTTCCGACTGCGTCGCGGCCGAGATACAGTCACCTGAGGAGGTTCGGCGCCCAGACAATGGCCAGGTTTTTAGTGTGCATGTTGGTGACAGAGCTGAAGGTGGCCAAACGGGAAAGGTGCCTCATGAGGTACTCCAGCGTCCTGCGGATGTAAAAAGAAACCCTCGTGTCTGAGATCGTTCACTATTGCTCTCTAACAAACCTGTGAGGCATTCACAGAACAACTGTTGGTGATTAAATAAAACAGAAGTGAGCTCCATGTATTTGATTAGTCAGTTGAACTGGATCTTATTTACACTCACCAACTATTTTTGGTAGATATCCTAGTACACTTGATATAAGACAAAACTAACTTACAAATAACTTTTCAGCAAGAAACAAGATATTTCCCCACACTGCATCCTACTGAAAAGTTAGTTTACAAGTGTAGTAAAATATTTCCACTAGAAACCAGACAAAAAAAATACCTGGTTAAGATGCTCATATAATTCACAATGCACCGATATTCTCTCAGTTAGTAGATCTTAAAATATGTAAGGTCTTTTTAGATGGGTAAGAGTTTATCAAGGAGATATGACTACCAATGCCCATCAGTTTTTTATTAAGATTTTTATTTAGAAACGATTTTCAAAAACATTCAATCATTTTCATTTAAATTTACAATTTTGACTGATTTGTGTTTGCCTATTATACCTAATCTCAACGTAAAATGATAAAGTTTGTGGTCATAATGTGGGAAAAAAAATAATGGAAAAAAGTTGGAGAAATTTAAATACTTCTCTCAGGGCACTACGAGTGTCGGCAGTGGTTAATGGAAGAAGCTCATATAATTCACGTTGAACCGATATTCTCTCAGTTACTAGATCTTAAAATATGTCTGATTTGCTCTAGTGAATGGATGTCGGGAGAGAAAATGACAGAATTTAGCAGCTTAGGGGAGGATGACCTGAGCTTGGCAAGATAAAGATCAAGATTAAGCAGAAAAACACGAGTTAAGCAAAGTGCCTTTCACCAAAATCAGAATCTAAAAATGATCCATTCCACTTACTGACAGCAGGGGGCAGCAGTGAGCTGTAAATCTGACCTGTAATGAGGAGGCGGCAGCTGCTGGATGACATTGTGGATTTTTACCAGCCTCTCCTCGTCTGTGGCTGCAGACACAGCTTCCTGTGACGAAACGGAGGACAAAAGCACGGAGTCTAACAACCGAAGCAGACGAGTTAATCTGACTCTCGGCTTCAAAGCGGTTCTTGGAAAGCTTGTCACAATGCAACGACCTCATTTTAAGCAGCACTTTGAAAATGAGATAAATGTCTCTTTCATTCAATCAATCAAGGAGCGACCAGAAAGACGTTGCCTGCACATCGACTGACACAAAGCTGAATCAGCTCCCGTGCAATTTTTTAAGGACTGTGCTCACCGAGAACCGGTCGTAGAGCTGGTAGGTGAGCAGCGGGTTGGGCAGCTCTCTGAAGTACAGCTTGCACAGGGAGCCCACAGAGTGGATGTCCTGTTGGAACAGTTCTCGGCTCAGGTCTGGGATCTGCTCAGAGTCAAACTCGTGCCTGGAGACGGAACAGAAACACAAGAACCCATTCGGACATAAAATATTGAATTATTGTCTCCACAATAACAGAAAAATGAGCAATTCCTTCTTCTGTATCTCAATAATAATAAAACAGAAGTCATTGTATTTAAGAGATCAAACTATTTCTTCGGATGTCATGAACACTTTACTTCCTGTAAAGTGTACAGGACGTAAAGTGTACTTTATAGGAAGTAAAGTGTACTTTACAATACATTGACGTAAAAGTCTATGTTTTATCTTGCTATATTTATTTAGTTCTTACCAAACTAAAGCCTTAAAAAATGCTGAACAGATTATGAAAGCTTTCACACCTGAAAAAGATTAAATGGAAAAATTATTCAACTTCAATTTTCACTCCCTCAAAAAGATTTTCCTTTGTTACAGGACAGATTTTAAGGCTATTCACTTGTTTTTAAGTTTATAGGTGGTCTTTTCCCATCATTCTTAAAGGATCTTTTAAATAATTATAAATTACTATCCCCACTAGCGTAAAATCCTTTTGCCCTGAGATGTTTCTAGATACAAATGAAAAAGAGGTGATCATAGCTATCATCAAAAATCAAGAATAATTTACAAAGTCACGTAAAAGCTTTTTACTTTTAATTTTATCTTTATGTTTTATTACAATTACAAAATCAATTTTTTATCATGTTCTTATCGCACCTAAGCAAATATTCCTACTGTCACGAGTTTATTGTCCTGGTTTTCTTTTGCAGCATTTCATACATATTTGTTTTTGTGCAGTAAAATAAATCTGACACTGACATTAACTGAATGATTTATTACAAAATGTGTAAATAGAAAAACAATAAATCCATAAAATCCCTTCGAAACAAAAAAAGACCATCAGATCTTCAACATGTCTACATCTTTGCGTGTGCCGTATTTCCTGAGCTGCTAGAAGGAGGCGTGACGCGGCGAGAGCCGAGCTTTTCCCATTAAGCTTTTTGATTGGCTGCCCAACCCCATCAGCTCATGTGCCGCTCAATTTATCCACTGATGGGAGTTTGTTTTATGGAAGCAGCAAAAAATACAGCAACGCTCTCAGAAGCTGCACAGCGTTAATCAGATTTCCATTGATAGATTGGGGGGGAAAAATCTACTTAAAAGCACTAAAAGTTAAAGACTTGGACAGCAGGCTCTTCAGCACACTGCACACTTTATATTTATTTATTTAACATATCAATATATCTGCAATCGTACCAAAGTGCCACATTTAAAGGATACAAATAAATAAACCTGAAAATACATGCAGTTAAGAAGTAAAAAAAAAAAACTAAAATAATAATCACATTTTGTGAATAATAACTGCGTTCTTCAACTAAATGTGCAATTCAGTAAAATAAAATAATAAAAAAATACTCTGAAGTTTCCAGTTGTAATATATTCATACCGTGTGTAATTATTTCCGTGTTTTTATAAATATTTAATGGTTCCTTTTACTGCAGTGCACCAGGAGCAAATTCAGCTCAACAAATGAATCCTGGCATCTGATTGGCTTCAGTCCAACCAGAAGCCCCGCCCCCTGACACCGACAGGGAAGGACTGCTGATACAGACTTTCTATGGTGAAGTAGAGAGGAAGCACAAACCTCAGTTTCTGGATGTTGGAGGAAATCCCTGAGAGTCTGTAGATCCCATCCACGACGCCGATCTTCTCGATGAACTCTGCACAACTTTTAACGACCTGCGGGACTGAAGGACATAAAGGCGAGACGCAACGTTCAGCCATTTTGTCTGTGTCTTCTAAAAACATCTTGTTGGGTACAAAAAGATGACATCTTCTGCGTTCTACATTCTCCACACTAATTATTTAAAGTTTTTTCGGTAACACCTTATTCAAAGGAGTGTGCATAAGACTGATATTACACTGTCATAAACATGACAGAACAACGGACACGAACATGAAGGCGTTTTCATGAATGTTTATGACTGTTGTCATGAAATGTCTTTTGGTAAATAATGACACTCTGAATGCAGAGTTGCATTAAAAGTTGCATTAAAAGTCAATTAGAAGAATCAACTTTGCATTAAAAGTATTATTTACAGATTTTTTTATGAAATGAAAACCGACGTGTTGAACAATGGCAGACTGCAGATTCGATAAAAACCACAAAGAGGTTTGTTTCTGGAGAATCCTACAATAAACAAGCCTCAGGCTGTAAATACCAGAACTCCCAAATGTTTTTACATTATTCATCACATTTCTTCAAACACGCAAGTGATTCTAATTCGATTAAAATAAAAATAAGGACAAACAATTTTAAACGCTGCCAAATCTTACCAAGTATTTTTGCCTAGTTTCAGTTAATAAGGCAAATCTAACTTGCATGTAACTTTTCAGCAAGACATAAGAGCTTGTTTAAAGTCAATTATTTCTTAATATTGATGGGAAAACAACCAGTTTCACTGGTAGATTATTTCACTCTTAAGACATTTTTTCCCATGTTATTAGTGAAATAATCTGTCAATTTTCCCATCAATGTTAAGGAACTATTTACTCAAAACAAACTCCTTTATCTTGTTAAAAATGTACTTGTTAGTTACTTTAGTCTTATTTCAATCATACTAAGATATTTATACTAGAACAATGGTTGATATGAACATTATGGAGCTAAATAAATCTGGAGAATCATGATGTTAACGTGAGACAAGATGATCTTGAATCAGTAGCTGAGAATTTACTCAGCGACTTCATTTTTGTTTCAGCATGGATGATTTTGCTTATACTGAAACAACAAAGTATTTCAAAAACAGGTTCTAAACCAGACTAACCTGGCATTAGTCTGTTTTTATTAAGTTAAAGCGTGTGGGATATTCTACCGTCGTGTCCTGAGTTGTGGAGATGCTCCCCCAGGTCGCAGCCAAACACTCGCTCCCTGAGGATCCCGCGCTGCCGCAGCTTCTGCGGCGGCGGCCGAGACTTCATGAACGACCTCAGGAAGGTCACCAGCTTCCCGTGCTTCTTGCACACTGAATGCGCACGAAAACACACACGGGAGCCACGTTACAAAGGAACCTGACTCAGATCCCGGTGAGCGAGTCTCTGAAAACTGGCCACGTCCCAACGCACACCGACTAGTACCTGGCTTTGGCACTGAGTTTTGAACGCTGGGTGGGATCTTCTCGTTTATCAGCTCCACGCAGTCGCAGGGGAAGAACCCGACCTGCAGGAGGAGAGGCGGAGAAGAGAGCGAAGAGGTACAAACGTAGTGAGTGACGAGTGGGGAGAGGCGATGCTGAAAAAGAGGTCAAGAAAAACCTCAGACTGAGCATTGTTGATATTCATGACTGAATCAAACTTTTGAGGTTTGAACAAACTTTCCCAACTAAACTAAACCTTTTTTAAGCTGATCTGTGCTGATCTCATCACTGGTTTACTGCCATCTCTGAAGACGACCTATGAAGTTTGTTTTTCAAGTAGCACGATCAATTTTCACTTTCTTTTCAGATTTAGAAAAGCTAAAATACTAACAGTTTGGATCCAATTTTGCAACATCAAATGTTTTTTTGCGTATTCTTTTAAGCTTTATTTTGAAAAACCAACATAAACCCTTTTATATTTTTTCAGTTTACTTCCATTGGTAACATGATAAGAAATATTGAGGCTTTTATTTTAGAAAGCATCTTTAAGGCTGCACTTTATAAAATAAAAAGAATAAATAAAAGAGTTGTGATTGGTTCTGGATTTCTGCAAATGGCCGGGAGGAAATAGAGGAAATACATTTTTTACCACATTTTTTTGTTTCATATTGTACTATGATGACATGATTTAACAAATATAATTATTATTATTATTTTACAAAAATTACATTCGATTTTTCAAGACTCGTTTAGCTCCAGGAATTTTTTTTTTTTAATAATCTATGAAAACTTGAGGATATTATTTTGAGAAATAATTTTGCTTTGTTTTATTTCAAGTGTAATAAGATTTTTCCAGTAGAATCCAGACCAAAGGTACTCTAGGACTTTGTGTGTTTTCCCACAGCAGAAGGTTTACCTGGAAGCCATGCTTCCCTCTCCACCAGCCCGTGTCTTCTTTAGGCGGCATGTCGATGACAGACACAATATCCCCGACCTAGATCAGAAAGAGCTCTCTCTATGACGCTCATCAAAACTAAATGCAAAAATATGCAGAAAAAAAACATACACCTAACAGACTGGTCCACGCCTGAGCATGTTTCTGTCTCCTTACCTCGAAGGTTAACTCGTCGGTGGCCTGAGCCGTGTACCGTTTGGTGACGTGGGCGGCAGCGATGGCGGGGACGTTGATCGAAGCTTCTTCAGAAACCAGCAGATGGTTGCCCTTGTTGTCGATCTAAAAATAAAGACAGCAGAGATGCTGTTGGCACATCTTACGCCCAAAAAGCCAGAGCAGGGAGTGGGAGCTGGTCACGATTTATCATGAGACGACGGATGAAAGAGAAGCAGAGAACAATGGAAAGTTAAAAATGTTTTGTTTTTGCCTCCACTTGAGCTTCCAGCGTTTTTAATGTCAGTGGAAAGTAGAGCAGGTGAATTGGCCCCAATGTTCTGTCTGTTTGTGTGTAACGTGAAGGATGTACTTTTTTTTACTTATGTTTTTAGAAATCAGATATCTGCTTTGCTGCCAGTGGTGCTGCCGACTTTTGTAACGCATAAAGACAGTTACAAAGTCGGCCTTCTGTCACCTGAAGAACATCTCCAGGATTAAAGGACGAATGTCGCAACAAAGAGAAACTCATATAAAATCTAACTGATTACAGTGTCCTCACATTCTGCCTACAAAAATCAATAAGAAAACTGCAGCTGATCCAGAACGCTGCTGCTCACGTTCTGACTAAAACCAGGAAGATAGACCACATAACACCAGTTTTAAAGTCGCTACACTGGCTCCCTGTAGCTCAGAGAATAGACTATAAAATACTGTTGTTAGTTTATAAATCACTGAATGGTTTAGCACCACAGCAGATCTTTAATACATTAAAGATCTGTATTAAAGATTCAGCTCCTTTTTGGAACTTCAGAGTATGAAAAACATACAACTCCAAAAATAACTTCAGATGAGAATCAAACATGTAAATACAAAGCCAACCCCACCGGTTAGATAAGTAAGATCAACTGAACTCTGAACACATTTGCACAGTGCTTGAAATTTGCTACAGAAGCTTCACTTTCTGTCACCGATCATTAGCTTGCTACTTGAAAGTCGCCAGAAAAAGCTGCACACCTCTTTTTTTTTTCTTGACACCAGTGCTGTTTGTCTGCTTCTCACACTGAGGCAAACACTCCCTGCCTTATGAACCAGTGCAGTAATTAAGTATTTGACTCAACATTTAAAAAAAAAAAAAAGAGCTACACTGCAAAATGTAGAAGGATGTACTTTGGCACGGATGTGTAGGATTCCCAGCAGGGAATAACAATTCCTTCATCTTATCTGCGATATATTCCAACCATAATCTAATTTTACTGACTGTTCCTTAGATAAACATCAGTCATGTTAGCGTTTCAGATCATCACAACGGAAAAGCACAATAAAAAAAGAACTCCTACCTCCATCCATGTTAACACAGGACCACAGTTGATTTTGTTGTCCGCGATGGCAGAGAAGCGTGACAGGTAGCTAGTCAGCATTGTGGTGACTGACTGAAAGGAGACAAAAATAAAATAAAATAAAAAAGATAGACCTCAATAAAGCTCCAAAAATAAACATGACGTCACACAAGCCAGCAGAGGTACAAGAATTTCTGCAAACGAATTCATGCTCTTGTATTTTGCTTTGTTTTTATAATGTTACAGCCACAAACTTCAAAGTTTTTCATCAATATTTAAGTACTGCTTTGTTGTGAAGTGGAAGGAAGTGATACACTGTCTTCAAGTTTTTCTTCTTTTTTTTTTCCAAATAGGTCAATATTTAGAGAAAAAAATGTTCACTACAATGACAGCTGAAAGTTTATTAGGGTCTACTTTTTCCCTTCCTCTTCCCAAAATAAGTCAGGCTCGGTCAGGTTCAGCTTCTTTGAACACCAGTTTTAGTGTTAAACTCTGTCTTTTTAAATAATTATTTGCATGGCATTAGGATTATTATGCAAACAAATGTAATTGTTGGTGCTGCCTCTTGGACTCCAAAGGACTCACTTGTTTTTGTCTTTTATCTCAATCCTGGTTAAATGAAGGTAAAAATAATAATTCAAAAGCTGAATTTGGACTAGGCCGTTGAATACGCTTTGGACTGGTAGATGTGTCTGCTGAAGACAGTAATGCCCCAAAAAATCAGCAGTGAATCTCTACAACTCTTCTAAAATAAATACATAAAAAAATGGAGATTATATCTAAATGGAGGAAAAAGTTTCAAAGGTGCATGAATGCTTTCATGAATGTGGAGACGATACCTCAACAGTGTCCTCTAAGGTGTCGTAGCGTGGCAGTTCGGTGAGTTGGGAGTAACGGCGGTCGTAGATGCACAGGTGCAGGTGTTTGTCCAGCACTCGGAAATCCTCGTAGGATCTTTTCACCAGCCAGTTTCGAGCCTGACGGGGACGACGCAAAGCAAATCAGGACCAAACCGAAGCGAAAGCGCCTGCTGCTTTTGGGAGAAGCCAGAGCACCACTCGGATATTCAAGTAATGTTACCTGGCAAGTGATCTGGACGAGAAAGACGAGTTCTTTGGAGTCCAGACCGGGCTTCGGTCCCTCGCTTTGCCCCTCTGCCAAGGCCAACTGCACAGGGAGACAAACAGGAGGAAGGAGACACAGAGGAGCTTGGATTGAGGATGGAGCATAAATAATAGATGAGTATGATACAAAACCCCTCTCTGTTTTTGGGACTGGGCTACTAAAAGTGCATCGTGTCCCATATTAATACTGGATTTACCACTTACATCGGATGCCTGGCGTTTCATGCTGCAGTTTTAAATGCTTAGCAGATTTCATTTTTTTTCTTCTGCGAAATTATAGATGATAGGAAATCAACCCTTAAAGAGACCAAAGACGTAAATGAAGAATTGACTTCAGAGGCCTCCGTGCTGAGGAAGTTTTGGTTATTTATAACTGTTAGCAACCCGTCCAGATACACTGTTACACAACATGCAGCGACCTAGTTACGACAAACCAAACCGATGAAGAGAAATTTGTTGTTGAGTGAGTCATTACGGTCAAAACGTAGTTCACCGCAACGCTTTCTTTTTTTTTTTCCTAGTCCAAACTACAAAGCTAATTAAGCTGTGGAGAGGCTGAAAAGGTCAGTGGTCCAGTGATGGGAGAGAGAAGAGGGCAGATTTAGAGAAATACAGAGAAATTATGAAAATATTAGGCAACAATGCAGCTTTTTTTCTCCCACACTCTCTCTCTCTAAGTAAAAAGCATCTCCACCATTTTCCCCCAGAAATATGCCCCACATCAAACAACTAACCCACCGTCACGTCACGGGCCTCGTTCAGGTTACCTCCTGCTAGAGCATCTCAGATGTCCGACAGCGGATGAAGTAAGAGCTTCCTCTTTGTGTGTGGGACCACAGCGAGCTCCTCAGAGCAAACAATAAAAAAAAGAAAAGAAATAGCCAAATCTAGGCTGAGAGCAGAAGGGTTTAAAGGTTCTCCTGACTCGCCCGTTTCTCGTCCTAACAACAACAACGTTGCACGCGAGAAGCTTATTTGCAGAGCAACCAGCACCGGTGTGCTACAGAAAGCAGAGAAAACGAGACGCTGATGCTTTCCCTCTGCTCCCTGCCTCCTTTCCCCCCCCCCCCCCCCCCCCCCCCTTTTCCTCCCCCCTCCCCCCTTCTCCTTCCCCCCCCCCCCCCTTCCCCTCT